ACAGAGCATGAATGGGGAGGGGCAGAGAGAGAGGGAGACACAGAATCGGAAACAGGCTCCAGGCTCTGAGCCATCAGCCCAGAGCCTGACGCGGGGCTCGAACTCACGGACCGCGAGATCGTGACCTGGCTGAAGTCGGACGCTTAACCGACTGCGCCACCCAGGCGCCCCTATGAGGTTTTTTAAACATAGTTGAGTTAGGTTGGTCTCTAGGCTTATAAGTAGTTTTTTTTTTCAGATTTTATATCCCGTGTCAGCTATAAACAGTAAAAAATTATTTATATACATCCAGGTAAGTGGTCCTAGAAGGTCAGATTTATTAGCTTCCCTGGCTTTAGTCACACAATATAAGTTCATATTCTCTGACTGGTTCTTGGTAGACAGCCCTAGAAAGTGATGTTCCAGTTACCAGTTCTTTCATTTCTGCCTCTGCCACATGCCCATACATGTGCCTGTTCATCTTGGGAGTGCTAATGATTGTGTTAGTCACAGTGTGGCAATTTGGCTTCATGTGCAGGTCAGAAGAACTACAGATGTACTTTGTGTGACAAATCTTTCACCCAAAAGGCTCACCTTGAGTCCCACATGGTTATCCACACGGGCGAGAAGAATCTCAAGTGTGATTACTGCGACAAGTTGTTCATGCGGAGGCAGGACCTCAAGCAACACGTACTCATCCACACACAGTAAGTCCTCCAACAGCCAACACGCCCCTGGGGTGGTGAACTCGAGTGCTCGCTCACACTGACCCGTTGTGTGCCTCCTGGCTTGGCACCCTGGTAGCCACTGCTTGTGTCCACACAGCCAAGCAAAGGTTGGAAACCTATGTTTTTGGTTTTATCCTGGCAGGTTTTACTTGTTTGCTTTATTTTTCTTATTTTTCACTTCTCTGTATTTGCTTTTTTCCAACACATAGTCTGATTTGATTTAACAAATATTTAAGTATCTCCTTGATGTCCAGCATTATGCCAACTGGTGAATATACAGAGATAAAAGACACAGACCTTGTCTTTAAAGAGCTCGAAGTCCGGTAAGAGAAGCAGAACAGTACAGCACTACCATACCATGCTGCAGTCAGAGTAAGCATCAGATCCTGAGAGGCTGTGGAAGAGGGTCACCGACCCGGCCAGGGTGTCTGGGAGAGCCTCCTGGTAGTCTGAGCTAAGTATTAAAGAAGATTAAGCTAGAATTATTTAGGGAGGCAGAGAAGGATAAAGGATGGGAATAGTATTCTAGACAGAGGAAAGGTATATTTAGAAATACATGTACGAGAAGGACTGTGGAATGCAAGTGGTTCTTTACAGTTAGAGCACAGTGTGCATGTGAGAACAATGGAGAGAGAGGCGGCAGTAAAGTCAGGAGCCTTTTATCCAACTAGGAAAATTAAATTTCATTCTGGAGGTAATGGGGAGCCACTGAAGGATTTTACCTCCCCCTGGCACAGGCACCGTTCTGTGCCATGTGTGTGTTTTAATTATGGTAAAAACACGTAAAATTTACTGTCTTAACCACTTTTAAGTGTACAGTTCAGTAATGTTAAGTGTATTCACACTCTTATACAAGTGTTGAAAGACTTTGAGGAAAAATGTCAAGGTGAGATAATCCATTTTATAAAGGATTGAAGGAGAAGGTCAAATGTTAGGAGACTCATTAAGAATTTATTGCATGAGGGGCACCTTGGTGGCTCAGTTGGTTAAGCATCCAACCTTGGCTCAGGTCATGATCTCATGGTTCATGGGTTCAAGCCCCATGTCTGGCTCTGTGCTGACAGTGCAGAGCCTGGAGCCTGCTTCAGATTCTGTGTGTGTCTCCCCAGCCACCCCCCTCACTGCCCCTCCACTCCTTATGTGCGCACGCATGTGCTGTGTCTCTCTCTCTCTCAAAAATAAACAAACGTTAAACAAACAAACAAAAAAGAATTTATTGTATGAGAGGCGCCTGGGTGGCTCAGTTGGTTAATCGTCCAAGTCTTGGTTTCACCTCAGGTCATGATCTCACAGTTGTGAGATTGAGCCCCATATCAGGCTCTGTGCTGATAGCATGGAGCCTGCTTGGGATTCTCTCTCTCCCTCTGCCCCTCCCTTGCTCCCACTCACTTGCTCTCTCAAAATAAATAAACTTAAAAAATTTTTTTTTTAAATTACATGAATCCAAGTGTAATTAAATGTCTGGGCTTTGTTAGTTACAGTATTGGTAAAGAGAAGAGAACAGATTTTGTGGTCCTGAGCTTTTAGTAAGTGTCAGAAGAAGGAGAAGATATTAGCTTATATTATGGGAGGTACTATTTAGAAAGTTATGTTCAATGGAAACTTGATATTCTGATAAGGCTCAGTAAAGATATTAGCTCTTTTGTCTGATTCCTAATCAAATGCAGCCTGACACACTAAAACAAGGAGTCTATGTCTACATTTATAATGCTCAAAATGACTTTTTTAAAACAAAGTCTTCATGAAATAGTTTCATTATTAGTGTGAATTTTGGAAATTAGACACACTAATTATCAAATACTGTATAGAATATACATATTAGCACTGAAAGAGATCTCTGGCGTCATTTAATCCAGCTGCTTATGTTAGTCAGCTTGAGCTGCCATAACAGAATACCTTCTGGAGACTGGAAACCCAAGATCAGGGTGCCAGCATGGTTGGGTTCTGATGAGAGCCTTTTTCCTAGCTTGCAGATAGCTAACTTCCTGCTCTGTCCTCACATTGGGGAGAGAGCAAGCAAGCTCTGGTCTGTTTGCCTTTTCATGTGACACTTATCCATCATGGGG